GGGGAGCAAAAGAGACATAAACATAAAAACTCGGAGGTCCGCGCGGATTTCTCGGATCGGCGCCGGGGCCCCCGGCGGCGCCTCCGGCGCCGCCCCTGGCGCGCTCCGCGCGCCAGGGAGGGGGGTCCAGCGCGGATCCGAGAGATCCGCGCGGACCTCCGAGTCTTTCTGTTTATGTCATTGGTCGTTCGGATTTCGCCCCCCGCGCGGATTTCTTTGGCCCCCGCGCGGATTCTGGCCCCCCGCGCGGATTTCTCGCCCCCCGGCGCGCGCAGCGCGCGGCAGGGGCGGCGCGTCGAGAGGCGCCGCCGAGGGGGGGGGGGGGCAGTGCGGATCCAAGATAGCCGCGCGGAGCGCCGAGAGATTATGTCCAGGGCTGTGTTCTTTCTTCTACATGGGAGGAGGAGGAGGAGGAGGAGGAGGAGGAGGAGGAGGAGCAGGAGCAGGAGGAGCAGGAGGAGGAGGAGGAGGAGGAGGAGGAGGAAGAGGAGGAGGGGGAACAGGAGGAAGAGGAGGAGGAGGAGCAGGGGGAGCAGGAGGAGGAGGGCGTTCTTTCTTCTTCGACCATGGGTCCTCGGTGGAGGCAGTGCCTGCTTCCCCTCCAAAGAATCGGCGGGTGCGCCAGATCCGGCTCCATCGGCACAGAGTCAACATCGAATCGGAGATCGGCTGCGCTACACGGCACAACAATGCATTGCAGACATCTTGAGCAGGGACCGACCGTCCCGGCATTCCTATAGGCCCACAACAACATGTTCTCAGAACCGAAATTTTTGTTCGAATAACAAAAACAGTGGTCCTAGACTATAAGCCCGACTCAGCCAGAAATGTTCTGCGAACATTTCGCACAAACCTTTCTTTGGTGGGCCCATAGGCGAGCCAGGACGCTTCGCCACTCCTTGATGTTTTCCTCTTCGGCCATGGGTCCTCGGTGGAAAAGGGTGCCTGATTCTCCTCCGAGAATTGGCGGGTGCGCTGGATCAGGCTCCATTGGCACCAGAGTCGACATCGAGACGACGACGACGACGACGACGACGACGACGACGACGACGAGGGAGACGACGACGACGACGACGACGACGACGACGACGACGACGGACGACCATTGCGCCAGACGGCACAGCAACGCCATGCATCCATTCAGCCGCATCGGACCGTCGGAACCGACTCGGAGCGGGCCGGCCGAAATCGGCGTCGAGCCGTATCGATCGGATTGAAACGGACGATCGGAATCGGTTCGGTTGGAGCCAGCCCAGGCGATTTGTCGTTCCCTTCGACGAGCCCACGACGGGTCCAGAGCGTCACAGGACGTCCCAAGGCAGGCCCCAGATAGGCCCACGGTAGACCAGGACCTGCCAAGTCGGCCCCGAACGCTCCCCTGGGCCCCGATGCAGACCCCAGAGCCCCAAGAGGCCCACCAAATGGCCCCAGAAAGAGCACCAAGAGGCTCCCGGGAATGCCACAAGTGATCCCCCACCGCGCTGCAGCGTTGCTCTGCTGCCCCCCCCCCCATCATTGGCGAAGGGTATGCACGGCATCGCAGCTGGATGCTACGGTCGGCTTCTGGACCGCGCGCTAGCAGAGGCTCGGGGCGTGGACGCCTGGGGACTGAGAGGTGGATAGCGTGCCGCTGGGCCAGAACAGGCGGAGCGACACGCTATCTACAAGTTCCCGCCCGTATTCCTTCTTGACCTCCTTCTCGTCGCCCTCTCTTCCTCTTCCTCCTCCTCCTCCTCCTCCTCCTCCTCCTTCTCCGCTCTCTGCTCCGTCCCCTGTCGTGCTCCAGCGCTTCTGCCCCTGTCCTCCTCCTCCTCCTCCTCCTCCTCCTCCTCCTCCTCCTCCTCCTCCTGTTTCTCCTCCCCCTGCGTTTCTGCGTTTCTCGCTCCGAGCAGCGTCTCCCCTCCCCCTCCTCCTCCTCCTCCTCCTCCTCCTCCTCCTCCTCCTCCTCATCCTCCCTTTCCTCCTCCTCCACCTCCACCTTATCCTCCTCCTCCTCCTGGGTGGGAGGCCGCACGCCAGCAGCGCCCGCCTTCGCACTGGCCCTGGCCGTTGCAGCCGACGCGTCTCCTGACGATTGGGAAGGGGGTGTCGTGGGGAGAAAGAGAGCGAGAGAGAGAGAGAGCGCGAGAAAGAGAGAGAGAGAGAGAGAGATAAAGAGAGATATATAGAGAGAATAAGAGAGAGAGAGAGAGAGAGAGAGAAAGGGGAAGAGAGAGAGAGAGAGAGCACCACAACGACCACTGCGACGACCGCCACCACCACGCCTGCTGCCCGCCCACCGCTCCGACTGCCCCTCCCTCCCCCCCTCTTCGCCCTCCCTCTTCCCCTGCCGGGCCGTCCCTGCCACATGCGCGCGCCTCGCGGTTCGCCCCCTCCTCTCCTCCTCCCTCCTCCCTCCAGCTGCGCTCGCCTGGCTCGGCGGCCTCCGGCCGGGCCTCCACGGGAGGTCGCCCTCGCCTCCTAGAGGTCGCCGTGCCGAGCTGACGACAGGGCGGGTCCGTCTTGCCCCCTGCTGCTGCCTGCTGAACCTCCTCTGCCCCCTTCTTTCACGAGAGGGAGAGAGAGAGAGAGAGATACAGAGAGACACAGAGAGAGAGAGAGACGCACCACTACGGACGAAGTTCGCACCAGCGTCGCGGCGGCTCGCGCCGTGCACGCAGAAACCCTTGACGTCAGGCCAGGGCAGGCGTGAAATCACGGGGCGAATCACGCGTGCAGACCCTGGCGGCCGAGACGGGTGCGACGGGCGTGGACGGCTGACGCGGTGCGGGACCCCCGAGCTGCGCTCGGTGCCGAGCTCCGTGCGGAGGACGGCGCGCCGGGAGGTGACGACCGTGGCACCTGGCCGCTGCGTGGAGAGGGCGGGGCTCACCGTGGGACAGCCCGAACGAAGCCGCGGACGACGGCCGCGGGCCGTGAGCCAGAAGGCAGCCGCGGGCCGTGGGCCCAGGCTCGACGGCGTGGCCGAGGGCGAAACCGCCCTGGCGGCACTGCGGCACCTCCAGCAGCGGAGCGCAGGGCCAGCCGAGGGGAGGCGGCCGCCGGGGCTGGAGCGGCAAGGAGCAGAGAGAGAGAGAGAGAGGGGGGGGGACGGGCGCGCGGAAGAGTGAGGAGTTCGTTGACGGCTCGACGACTTCTGCCGTCCCTCGACTCGTGCTGGAGCGGCCACGATGTGCTCCAAATTCCCCTCGAGAGATCCCTGGATCTATCTGATGAAACCTGGCTCCGCCTCAATCTGTATCTGCATCCACCCTGATTTCTCCGGCCTCATCCCTACAAGTAGGTCGGGCGTGCCCCCCTACAGGCGGATCTGTGAGGATCAATAAAACACATGCAAAAAATGCTCAAACATAGTCAAACAATACTCAAACATCGTCCCCACACTGTTTTTGACTATTTCCCTACCTAGGCTCTGCCTAGAAGGGTTCTTACCCTGTATGCTTAAAGGGCCGGGCAGTGCTCCCCGCTCCGGGTGGTTCCCCCAGGATCCGCCCCGCGGTTCCCCCAGTTGCGCCCCCGGGGTTCACCTAGCTTAGTTAAGCTAAGCTAAGCTTAGCTTAGCTTAGCTTAGCTAATCATAGCTTAGCTTAGCTTAGCTTTGCCTAGCATAGCATCGCTTAGCTTAGCTTCGCTTAGCTGACCTTAGCCTAGCCTATCTTAGCTTAGCTTGGCTTAACTTAGCTTAGCTTAGCCTAGCCGAGCTTAGCTTCAGCATAGCTTAGCTTACCTTAGTTTAGCTTAGCACCGCATAGCGCAGCGCAGCATTAGCACAGCATAGCACAGCACAGCACAGCATGGCCAAACATAACATAACAAAGCATATCATTGCTCAGCATAGCAAAGCATAGCACATCATAACATATCATCGCATAGCGAATCCTAGCATAGCATCGCATAGCAAAGCATCGCTTAGCATAGCACAGCGCAGCATAGCATAGCACAGCATATCATATCATATCATGGCATAGCGTAGCATAGCAAAGCGCAGCATAGCATGTCATAGCGCCGCCTAGCATAGCATGAAGCGTGCGGTAGAAGCAGCATATCATAACATAGCCTAGCATATATGGCATATCATAGCATAGCCTAGCATAACCTAGCAACACCAATGCGAAAGTGTAGATGTAGATGTAGACGTAGACGTAGATGTAGATGTAGATGTAGGCGTATATGTAGGTGTAGATGTAGATGTATATGTGAGCCTCGCTGTTGATGTTGATGTTGATGTAGATGCAGGTGTAGATGTAAATGTAGCTGTCGGTGTAGACGTAGATGTTGCTTCCCTAAATGATCCAACTCCTAGGTAGGGTCGCACTGGGATAATTTTGAATATTGCTCCTGTAGAGGGACATGCCCGACTTAACCCTACACGTCGAGTGGCGAAAAACCGCCCAGCCCTCGGTGAGCAGTGAGGAGGGGCCGCGGAGAGGCCCAGAGAGGAAGAGGAGGAAGAGGAGGAGGCGGAGAAGAATGAGCAGGAGGAGGAGGAGGAGGAAGAGGAGGAGAGGAGGAGGAGGAGGAGAAGGAGGAGGAGGAGGAGGAGAGGAGGAGGAGGAAGGAGGAGGAGGAGGACTCCAGGAGGAGGAGGAGCAGGAGGAGGAGGAGGAGAAGGATGAGCAGGAGGAGGAGGAGGAGGAGGATGCGGAGAAGGATGAGCAGGAGGAGGAGGGAGGAGGAGGAGGAGGAGGAGGAGCCAAGTCAAGATGGGGGTCGTTCCTCCGTGCTCGGCTTCTGGGGGCCCTCGCGGGGTCCTGGGACCGTCGACCAACGTCGACGCGGGATGCAGAGCCGGTCCTGCGGGGAAGGGCTCGGGACCTCCGGGGGCCCCGTGTTGGCAGAAACGCGTCGTCGGATCTCGAGGTTGGTGCGTGGCTGTACGAGGGCCGCGGGGGAGGCCAAACCAGGGCAACCCCAGCGCGCCAGGCAGCGCTGGCGGGACCCCTGTGCGCCCGCACCAGGGGTCGCTCCGGCGGAAGGTCTCCCTGGCAGCCGACTGACGCGCGCTCGCCACATCCTTTTGGAGCCCCTCGGCCGGCGATCTCCCCCCAGAGCGCCTTGGCCGCCGCCACCGCGACGCTGCGGTGGCAGTGGGCCCCCTCGCGCCACGCCACCAGCCACAGGCCCTTGCACATCGAGAGGAAGTCCCCGTGGCGCTGCGCCCGCGACGCCTCGATGCAGGCCGCCAGCGTGCCCCGGCCTCTGGAGGGGGCCGAGCGCGCGGGAGCGAGCAGCGACGCGTTGCCTCCCTGCTCCACCAGCAGCGTCGTGTAGTTGCGCAGCAGGTCCCGCAGCTCCCACTCCACCTGCTCTGCGCCGCCCTGGCCCATGCGCCGGGCGCCGCCAAGCGTGTCCCCAGTTGCGAAGGGGCCCAAGGACACAAGCAATACATGGACACAAGTGAGAGAATTCCACATCTGTTCCAATATTTTCTGGGTTTGCGCCTTCCCCCCCACTTCCCATATTTTCCCATATTTTCCGGGGGATCGACGATGTATTGTGTCTGTGTCTCTTCTGCTCCCGAGTGTCCCCAGTTGGCCCGAGACCACAGGGAGCGCGCAGCCCGCGCCCGCGCCCGGCCACGCGAGTGCATGGAAGGCGGCCGCCCTGCTCCGCAGGGGCAGCCTCGTGTTACGACGGCTCGGCGCAAGGCAACCCTTGTGGTACCCGCGCAACCCCACCCCCGAGAGGTGTCCGCAGGGGCTCCAAGCACCTGGGGCCCCAAGCTGGGCCGCAGCACTGCGCAACATGCCCGGGGGCACCTCCCCAGACATGCGATGGGGGTCCAGCGGGGTGAGGCAGCACCCAGACTCAGATTATACCTCGCCATCCCTGGGGGGTCTGGATTTTGTCAATGCGCGGTCCCAGAAGTCCCGCACCTGCTCCCAAGGCCGGCTTGTCAACCCGAGTGGTTTGTTGACGGTCCCGGGGCCGGGCAAGGGCCTGAGGAGGCCAAAGTTGGCCAAAAACCTCCCGTCGTTATTTCTCCACGACGCTAGGCTAGGAGCACCCGTGGCAGCCCCCAAGATGTGCATGGTGTAGACGTGGCACAACACCACGCACAGCAGCCCCGCGCCCAGCGCGCGACGGGCGCCGCGCAGCACGCTGGCAGAGGAAAGAACCACAGCATAGACACACACTTTCGGAGATCCGCGCGGCTTCTATGGATCACCGCTGGGCCCTCCTCCTCCAGCTCCTCCTCCTCCTCTTCCTCCTCCTCCTCCTCCTCCTCCCCTTCCTCTTCCCACGTCTCCTCCTCCCCCTCCTCCTGCTCCTCCTGCTCCTCCTGCTCCTCCTGCTCCTCCTCCTCCTCCTCCTACTACTCCTCCTCGTCCTCCTCCTCCTCCTCCTCCTCCTCCTCCTCCTCCTCCTCCTCCTCCTCACCGCCAGGGGCGGCGGCCCTGGCGCCAGCAGGGGGGCCCAGCGGCGATCCGAGAAGTCCGCGCGGAGCCCCGGAAAGTTCCTGCTCGTGCCATGGACTCTTCCTCCGAGCTGAGCTCGTGGCCCTGCACGTGCACCTGCGGGGGCGCACTGTCCAGGATAGATACGGCAAGACCCTGCAAGATCCTGCGAAGCAGACTGAGGTCACTGCACCCCTGGCTTTGCAAGATCCTGCAGGATCCTGCGCGCAGACCTGGGCTAGTGCACCCCTAGCTTTGCAGGATCCCGCGAGATCCCCATGGCGAGCAATCCCCCAACAGCGCCCCAGGCCCAGAAGTCTTGCAGTGTCTTGACTGCTGCTTTACAGCAATTCTAGAGAGGCTGGCGCCCGTGGGAAAATTGAACTTCGATTTGTCATCTCACATCTCTTGGGGATCCTGCAAGGTACTCCTCCTCCCTCCTCCTCCTCCTCCTCCTCCTCCTCCTCCTCCTCCTCCTCCTCCTCCTCCTCCTGCTCCTCCTCCTCCTCCTCCTCCTCCTCCTCCCTTTCCTCCCTTTCCTCCCTTTCCTCCCTTTCCTCCCTTTCCTCCCTTTCCTCCCTTTCCTCCCTTTCCTCCCATTCCTCCCATTCCTCCCATTCCTCCCATTCCTCCCATTCCTCCCTTTCCTCCCTTTCCTCCCTTTCCTCCCTTTCCTCCTCCTCCTCCTCCTCCTCCTCCTCCTCCTCCTCCTCCCAAGGCGAGCGCCTTCATCAGGTCCACCGGCGGCCGGGGCGCGCGTGCGCCGCCGGCGCGGACGGCGGAGCGCCGGCCCCGCGCCAGGATCCCGTCCACCGTCTCCGTGCGGACGGAGATCCTCTCGTAGTTCGGCCCCGTCCCCTCACTTGGGAGCACACGGCGGGTTCGGGTCGTGTCGACCCCGGCGCTGGTTCTCGACGCCGCGGGGATCGTTCAAACTGGAACGATCGGCCGTGTCATGAACGCCAGATCGCTCCACGACGGGCCGGTTCTGGGCCACGAGCGGAATTCAGCCTTAGACGCCCGCGCTGGGGTCGCCGCCGGTCGACACGACGCGGACCCACCGTAGAGGCCTCCTAGATGGGGTCGGAGCAGATGGGGTCGGAGGACCGCGCCGCATCGCCGGTGCATCGGCGATGCACAGGCGGCGTCGCCGATGCATGAGCGCTGTCGGCGTGGAGAAAGCCTGACTCCACATCGACCGCACCGTCGATGCATCGGCGATGCGGCGAGATCCTTCGATCCCATCTGCTCGGACCCCACCGAGGAGGCCTAGAAGCACGCTCGGGCCCAGCGGCCCCGGTGCGCGTCGCGCCGCACGAAGGCGTGCTGGCACGGAGCTCGCCGCGCGGGCAGGAAAAACGCAGGCCTGGCGCCGTGCGCTCGCCGGAACGTGGGCCCCACCACGTTGGGCCGACACGCAGCGTGCTCACGCGGACGTCTTTGGGGAAACCAAGGGGTACACCCTGCGAAATGCTTAAGAAATCATGGGTTAAGAAATTCATAGTCTCAGAACTTGAGTAAAAACCCAGAATGTCTCTTCAAATCTTGGGATTTACATTGAAACATTAAGAATAATCGAGACTCTGGCCGAAAATTTAAGTTTTCTTAAGCATCGCCTAAGGTGTACTCATACCGCCACTCCCCGGACCTCTCCCGAAGTGCGTTCCGACCAGAACCTCGGGGCGAATCCAGCGGAGTGGCGACGAGGGCCTCCCACGAGGCCCCCCCACAAAAAGGAAGACGGGCAAGAGAGTACAAGTATGGGTACCTTTCTCTGCCTCTGCACGTCCACGCGGACGTCTTGACCACGGCACGTGCTGCGCCTCCACACGTGCGCATCAGGGAGGCGAGGCGCAAGGGGGACGCCATCCCCGAGAGCCGATGGCCCCCTCCGAGCGTTGCCCCCCCCGACGCCGGCCTCGTACGCGCTGGTCTCCGCCGCCGACTGCCTCGGCACGCTCAGCTCCTGTTGCGGGGGGTGCCGCCCGACTGCGCCCCTGTGCACGTAATTAGCCCCCAGGGTGTCCCCAGGTGCTGCTCGCCAGGGCTCGACCCAAAGCAGTGCTTCTGTGCTCGTGCTGGTGTTGTGTTCCCTCGCTCTGTCTTCGCTCCGCCTCCTTTGCTGCGAAGCGAAGTGGGAACGAAAACGGTCCACGAAGCCGCCAGAACACCGTCTAATAAGTCGAACCATGTGGTTCGCCCCCCAGGGGTCCTCCAGGCCTCTGGAGGGGGGGGACTCTGGAAGCCGTGGGGACCTCCCTGGAAATCATGGGGATTGTTTTGTGTTTGATCTATAGAATGAATAAACGAAAGCGGATGAAACGTAACGTTTCGGAGCTCCGCGCGGACTTCTATGATCCGCGCTGGCTGGACCCCCCTCCCTGGCGCGCGGAACGCGCCAGGGGCGGGCGGTGCCGGAGGCGCCACCAGGGGGCTCCAGCGCAGATGCAAGAAATCCGCGCGCGGCTCCGAAAGGTTACGTCCATGCAGCATTTTCTTCTTCGAATCTTGGCTAAAGGGCGCATTTTGAAAGGGAAAATCAGAAACTGACAAAAATTATTCCAAATATGAAAGAAAATTATAGAACCATCGACCCCAGAGTATGTTTTGACAATTTCGGAATATTCCTCCTGCAGGTAGACATGCCCAACTGCAATATCCGAAGCCAGACCCCCCCTCCCTCTCCCCCCCCTTCCGCCCAATTTCGAAACGCCGAATAAGAAAACGTTCGCTTGCTTCGAATCTTGGGCTAGGGGCACCAGCCGGCCCGTATCCCCCTTATCCCCTTTTGCGACCTGAGTGCACCATCCAGGCCAGCAGAGGGCGACATATGGGCGCGGGTTTGGAAAGCGCTGTCGATTGCGGCGTTGCGCCGCTTTTAAGGGGCTGCCCGGGCTGGAGCACTCCCTCCAGACGGACGAACGGACGGAAAAACTTGTGGCAACGCCCGATCCTGGCTACCAGGGCTGCTCCCCAGGGCCAGCTGCCGCACGCGCAACCGCGGCAGCCTCGCCGCGGCCGCGGGGCCCCCGGCGGCGGACGCAGCGGCCCGCAGGTCCTCCCGCAGGCGCGCGAACGCGCTGCGCATGGTGTCGGCGATCCTCCACACCGGTTCGAACGCCTCGTGGCGGACGCAAAACGGTAATTACATCAGAGGGGGGAGGAGGAGGAGGAGGAGGAGGAGGAGGAGGAGGAGGAGGAGGAGGAGGAGGAGGAGGAGGAGGAGGAGGAGGAGGAGAGCAGGAGAGGGGAGGAGGAGGAGGAGGAGCAGGAGGAGGAGGAGGAGAAGGAGGAGAGGAGGAGGAGGAAGGAGGAGGAGGAGGAGGAGGAGGAGAGGAGGAGGAGGAGGGAGGAGGCGGAGGAGGAGGAGGAGGAGGAGGAGGAGGAGGGGGAGGAGGAGGAGGAGAGCAGGAGAGGGAGGGAGGAGAGGAGGAGGAGGGAGGAGGCGCCCGCCCGGAGGAACGCGCCCGCCGTCGGGGACGCCTGCCCCGAGGCGGCCGGACGGGTCACACGTAGCACCCGGTAGCTGCGGAGAAGGGCGAAGGGGCGGGCGCGGGGCGGGTCGCGAGCGGGACGCGGGGTGGGCCGACGAGTGGGTCGCGAGTGGGTCGCGGGCGGGCCGTGGGCGAGGAGGAGGAGGAGACAGGACAGGACATCCGCATAAGGGGGTACAACGTCTGAGCACATGCTCAGGTGACCTACGCTCCACACTCAAAATCCACTGCGGTCTGTTGTGCTACAGCCCTGCCTTCTCACTAGGGCCGGCAGGGGGCACACAAAGTAGCTCAAGGACCGAGCTCCGAGGTGGCCCGGCAAGAGAGGCTCGCTACCTTACATCACGAGTCCCTTCGGGCCAGTGCGGAGGAGGAGGAGGAGGACGACAACAACGATCCTTTCAAGACTGTTCGCTCCGATCTGCTCGCGTGCCATTCAACACGTATATCCCAAACCCTAGCTGCCCGCCCTTTTCGTTTTCGATCGCACCTCCTTGGGAGCATAACTTCCTCACTTGCCAAGTGCATTTCGTGCAGCCCATAAAACAAGGTAAAGAGAGGACGGATGGAATGGGGAGGGAAAAGGATGGTGCACGGGCGAGATTAGCGGGAGGGGGGCTAGGAGCAGGGAAAAACGTGGCAGAACCAGGCGGGCAGATCGGGCGGGTAGACCCCAGCTGGCGGGTCGGGAAGGCGGGACGAGGCGGCCAGGCCGAGCAGAGCAGGCGGGTGACTGAAGCGTGAACCCTTCATGAATCGCGTGGAAGTCTCGAGCGACAGCGCGATTCCCAAGTAAACCGCGACAAACGCCAGAGAGAGAGAGAGTGATTCCCGAGCGTCGAGGGCGCAGCATCTGGGTGCGAGGTAGACTGATATGAGTGAGTCTGAGGGCTGGTGAGTCTGAGTATGAGTGAGTATGAATGTGAGTTTGTCTGGGTATGAGTGAATCTAGATTCGAGCGAGTCTGAGTCTGCGCGAGTACGTGTGAGCCTGAATACGATCGAATATGGCGGTGAGCGAGTCTGAATGTATGAATGAGTCTGGGCGAGAAAGAGGTACTGATAAGTGAGTCCGAATGAGAATGCATGCGTCCAGGTGGGGAAAGGGGGAAGGACGTGAGTGAGTGAGTGGCTGAGGGATACACAAGCCCAACAAACTGTTTGGGGGCAGAGGCAGAGACAAGCAAGCCGCCCGAGACATTCCCCTCCCCATCTGAGCGCGACTCCTGAGCTGTCCCTACCCCTGGCGGCTCCGCCTTCGGGTGCCCAACACTTGCAGCGCATGCTACATCGCGGTAGGCGTTGGACCACCAAACAACGGCAGTCAGGGGGGCAAAAAAGCAGTCAAACCGCCAGAGACATGCCCACAAACCGGACGCGAACCCTGGAGGAGGAAGAGCAGGAGGAGGAGGAGCAGGAGGAGGAGGAGGAGGAGGAGAGGGAGGAGGGAGTGCCCCCACCCCTGAAAAAAGCTCCCCGTCGGGGTGCCCGAGTACGGCGCCTGCGATGCCGCGGGCGGCACTGGACCACAAGCACTCGGGGGAGCGGAAACAACAGGCAAATCGAGACGCGGTGCGTGGGGCGTCCTGAGGATTCGCTCTGGGGGGCCCAAGTCCCGAACCTGCTATATCGCGGTGAGCATCGGATCACCAACACAGGAAAGCCTGGGGGGGGGCAACAACAGGCAAACCGCCTGAGACATCACCAGCATCTGACTTTGAATCAGAGGGTGTCGGGCACGCAAGCAGGCAACCTGCCTAAGACATCCCCACACTCTGGGGGCGAGTCCGGGAGTGTCCCCACCCCTGGAGGCTCCCCCTTGGGGTGCCACAGTGTCACGATCGCTGAATCGCGGTGAGCCGTGGGCCACCGAAAGAAAAACTGAGAGCACAAATATGCAAACCACCCGAGACATCCTCGTGCGTTGCTTTGAAAGCAGAAGATGCTGGGCACGCAAACAAGCAAACCGCGTGAGACATCCCCACAAGCTGGGCGCGAATCCTGGAGCGTCCCCATCCCTGGCGCCCCCTCTTAGGAGTGCAGACACCAACGCCTCGCCTGAAACAGTCGGAGACACCCTCAGGATCTGCTCCGGCACCAGAGGATACTGGGCACGCGAACAGGCAAACCCACAGCGATATCCCCAGAATCCTCCGACCCTGCCGTCGTGTTTGAGGGGCTTGGTTGTTCGAGTCGTCGTCTCCGTCAGTCCTCATCTCCGTCGTCGCCTTTCCCTGTACCCTCCTAGCGAGAGAGAAAAATCTAGCAATGTCGCAATAGAGTCGAAGGGAAGCCCCCTCACTTTGATCCCTCCCCCATCGGGGGGGGGGTCCCTGGGGGGGGGGGATCAGGTACGCATCCCCTCCCGGGGGCCTGGGGCCTCAGACAGTGTCAAGGCAGGCCAAGAGTTCTCCACGAGGCCGCCGAGACGGTCCAAGAGGATCCCCAATCGCCGCCAAACGATCGGTCCAAACGCCTTCGCGCCCTCCAGACTGTCCAGGAGGCCTCCAGGACGCCCCAAGACGCCTCCAAGAGCACTCCCGAGAGGCCTCAAAAGGCCAAATTCGTGCATGTTTCCACTGTCTATTTTGTTTTTTCAGGTTTGGGCGTTCTCGCCTTTTCCACTTCCCGCCGCTCCAAAACGGCGCAAAAAGCTCCCAAGATCGCCCCAAGACGGCCCAAGAGGTCTCCAAGAGGGCTCCGAAACAGCCCAAGAGGACCCCAAGACAGCCCATAACGCCTCCAAGACAGACCAAGAAGCACCCAAGGCGGCTCCAAGAGCGTGCCCAGACGGGGGACGCGAATGGACATTTCGAGCCCTCGGCCCCGAGAGGCTCCCAGGAGGCCCCAAGAGGTTGCCAAGAGGTCCCCAGAGGCCCACAAGAGGTCGCCAGGAAGCCTGGATGGGGCCCCCAAGAGACTCCCAAGAGGCCTCCAATAGGCTCCCAAGAGGCCCCAAAATTCCTCACCAGAGGCCCCCGGGAGACATCCGAAGAGACCCGAGAGACCCCAAAACCATCCATGAGAACTGTGGCCCACGTCAGTGTCATCGTCGTTGCCGACGCCGCCGCCGCCGCCGCCGCCGCCGTCGTCGTCGTCGTCGTCGTCGTCGTCGTCGTCGTCGTCGTCGTCGTCGTCGTCGTCGTCGTCGTCGTCGTCGTCGTCGTCGTCGTCGTCGTCGTCGTCGTCGTCGTCGTCGTCGTCGTCGTCGTCGTCGTCGTCGTCGTCGTCGTCGTCGTCGTCGTCGTCGTCGTCGTCGTCGTCGTCGTCGTCTCTTGTCGGGGTCGGCGGCACCGGCCGTAAAGCCTTCGCAATCTGGCTTCGAACTCTGGAGTATCCCCACCTCTGGCGCACCCCCCTTGGGGTGCCCAAAAGCTACTCCTGCTATATCGCAGTGAACGTTGGACCACCAATGAGTACGAGTGGGTCTCAGTCCGGTTATGAAACGAGAGCGAGTGCGAGTTAATATGCGATTGAATGGGTCCAAGAATGAGTGGGTCGAACTATGAATGAATCTGAATGCGCGTGAGTCTGAGCGTCTTGAATCTGAGTGAGTCTGAATGCAAGTGTGAGTCTGGCTGCAAACGAAACCGAGCGTGAGTGAGCCACAGTGAGCGTAAGTCTGAATGTGGGCGAGTCTGAGTGTGAGTGAATATGAATATGACCAAGTAGTAAGAGTGAGTGTGAGTGTGGACGAATCGCTCCAGTTGAGGAAGATCAGAAAGAAAAGGAGGTGAGAAGAAGGAGGAAGAAGAGGTTCCCGCACACGCCATCTTTTGCGATGGAGAAGTATTCCCCGCATGTTCAGACTCATTCGCAGCCAAACTCGCCCACTTTCAGGCTCACCCATTTCACCCACACTCAGACACACTCGCGCTTACACTCACTCACTCACTCACTCTCGGACTCACTCATTGCCAAACTTACTCACACTCATACGCCCTTCGAACTCAGACCTGGACTCACTTATACAAACTGTCGGCCATTGCCAAACACGAAATAGAAGGCGAAACGTTTGGACACCCTAAGGAAAGGGGCCCAGGGGGTGGGATTCTTTTTGATTCGCGCCCAGATTCTGGGGACGTCTCCGGCGGTTTCCCTGTGTGCGTGCCCAATATCGTTTTCTTCCCGAACAGACTCTTAAGATGTCTCCAGCGAGGCCCTTTTGTTCAGCACCCCTAAAGGAGGGCGCCAGAAGTGGGAACACTACAGGATTCGCGCCCGGATCGCAGGGGTGCTCAAGCGGTTTGCCAGCTCGCGTGCCACACATCCTGTGCCGTCGCAGCAACGCGTCGAGATGTCTCCGGCGGTTTGCCTGTTTCTGCCCCCCCAGATGTTTTTTTGCCTCGGCGGGCCACAGCCCGCAACGATGTGACAGGCGTGGCACTCGGCCGCCCCCGGGCAGAGGGGGCGCCCGAGGTGGGGGCCCTCCGGGAGTCGCGCCCAGATTGTAAGTGAAGGGAAACTGGGACATACAAATAAATACACACAAATAAAAATATTCCCCATATTTTCCTATACTTTCTGGGTTTTTGTCTTCCCCCCCACTCCCCATATTTTCCCATATTTTCCTGGGGATCGACGATTAATTGTGTCTGTGTGTTTCTTCCCCTCCTGAGATTTGTCCGTTCGCGGTCCCAACACCATGTGCGTTCCAGGGCAACCTGCGAGGATGTCTCGGGCGGTCTGCCGGCCTCTGCCCCCCGGTCGATAATTTCCGCTGGTGGTCGGAAGCTCGCAGCGATGCCACAAGCGCGGCACTTGGGCACCCCAGGGAGGGGGCGCCAGTGGTGGGGAGGCTCCAGGATAGTCCAGGAGTGCGGGGATGTCTTCAGCGATGTGCCTGTTTGCGTGCCCAACACCATACGTTTCCAAAACAAACTGTGAGGATGTACCAAGCGTCTTGCTTGCTTCTGCACAAGACGTGTTGTTGTCGTCGTCGTTGTTGTTGTTTCTTGATGTTGTCGGTGGTGATGGTGTTGTTGTTGCTGGTGTTGTTGTTTGACTCGCACGACTGAAGCATAAGTATTGTTGATCCCCCCTCCCGTGACCATTGCGTTTTTTTCAACTGGAGTGCTTCCCCAAGGGTTTGCACCCTGTTCTTGGGACTCAACCTGGGCCGCCGGCCCTCGGCTTACAACAACAACGGTTCCCGCCTGATACTTCCTCACAATGTATTCCCACATCGCGGTCTCGCGCGGGACTTCCTCGCATTTCATGTGCAGATCGCGCTCTCGCGTGGGCCGCCCTCTTAATTTCTTCAGACGATGCGCCCTCGGCACGCAGGAATCACGCTCTCGCTTTGGCTTTTCTCACGAGGTACTTGGGAATAAAGCTATCGCTCGAGACTTCTTCGCGATTCATACAGGACCCACGCTTCAGCAATCCGCCTCCTCGACCTGGTCGCCTGGGCCCGCCTTCCCGACCTGCCCGCTATGGGTTTGCCCACCCGATCCGCCCGTCTGGTTATACCGCTTTTGTTCTGCTCATTGCCCCCTTCCTGCTAATTTTCTCTCGTGTTCCATTCTTCTCCCTCCCCCTTCCACCCGTCCTCTCCTTCCTTGTTGCAGGGGCGGCACGACATGCGCGTGGCAGGTAAGGAAGATAAACCCCCGAAGGGGTACGATCGAAGACGACGAGGGCGAGCACCGAGGGGTGGCAATGAACGTATGCATTGGCACTTGACCAGATAAGAGCGAAGAATCACACAATGTTTGTTGTTGGTGGTGTTGTTGTGTGCGTGTGTTCGTTTTTTTGAGACGTGCATCTTTATGTATACATACATATATATATATAAATATATAAACACTGAACACATATGATAAACGCCATATGTTTCCAGCCGGCGGTCGAATGCCCACCGAGACATCACAGGCTTCGCACTTGGACACCCCAGGGCGGCACCGCCAGGGCTGGGGAACCTCCACGGATCGCGTCCACAGTGCGAGAATGACTTAGTAGGCGGGCTGCCTGGTTCCGCCCCCCTTCTTGTGGTCCAGCGCTCACCGCGATAAAGCATGAGTGAGACTTGGGCACCCCGGCGGGGAGCCTCCAGGGGTGGGGACAATCCAGGCTTCGCGGACAGGTTGCGAGGATGTCTTTGGCGGTTTGCTGGTGTCTGCTCCCATCCCTCCCCCAAACATGTCTTGCTTGGTTGTCCAATGCTCACCGAGACATGGACAAATGGCTACCGCGAAATAGCCGGCGTTGCACTCGGGCACCCCGAAGCTAGCAAGCGCCGCGAGTAGCACGCCAATGAGCGAGCGTAGAAATGCCATGCGCGCTTCCCTGACTTGCCGCGAGGAGAACTGCGAGATACACTCACCCTCGCTCTTCCACTTGTGTTTCCTCGTCTCTCCTGAAGTCCAAAGGAGGAGTACGTCACTGAAGTCATTGCTGTCGTCGTCATTGCCGCGGCAGTCGTCTACGTGGATTCGTCCCCACCCCCAGATACTCATTAACAGAACTCCACAGCGAAACGTGGCAAGAAAATCATACATATGCACACGTGATGATACCCGCATGGAGTAACTCCTTAGGAATGAGAATGCAGTTCTAACAATCAGGCTTAGACTGTTCGCTCTGATCTGATCGCGCGTGAAAAAACATGTACATATTCCATTCCCTTGATGCCCGCCCTCTTCGTATTCCATCGTGCCCCCCTGTAGGGCATGTCTTCTTTACATGCCACGTGCAGTTGGCGCAACCCCTCAAAACATGTGATGGGAGGGAGGAGGGGAGGGACAACGGGGAAGGCGAAGGATAAAGCACCCGAGCAAACGACAGAAACAGACGGGCGGGTCGGGCGGGCGGACCCCACCAGGCGGGTCGGGCGGGCGGGCTCAGACGGCCAGGTGGAGCGGGCGGGACGCAGAGTAGTCAGTTCTTCACGAATCGCGAGGACACCTCGAGCCATAGCGCGAGTGCCAGGTAAATCCTGTGGAAGTCCAACGTTGGAGCGTGATCCCTCAGTGTCGAGAGCGTGGCGTCTGGATGAGTTGAAGGAAGTTCTCACGAAAGAGGCCGATTCATGGATACATGTTGAGAAGTCCCGCGCGAATGCGCGATTTACTTTAACTGTGAGGAAAATCAGGCGGGAGCCGTTGTCGTGGCAGTTCGGGGGCCGATAGCCCAGCCTTAGCCTTAAACGTCTTCTTCTTCTTAAAACCAGTGTGCGAGCCCCGAGAGAACCACTTCACTCGAAAAAGCACCAGGAGCACCGGAGGGGAAGGCTCAACTGCAACTAGTCATAATAATCTTAAGAAGTGTGAACTTAATGCAACAGCGCAACATCGCAACACCATTCCGCACTACGGAACACCACTACGGCCACGCGCCCAGGAACCAGGAATGCCCGTTCGGCACCCTCACTCTGACCTCTACGGTGGCACGTCGCCATGGGTTGAAGCGTCCCCGACGGCGGGAAAGCTCATGTTATGAAGCAGATCCGCTAAGCCTCCGCCTCAAGCGCGACGCCATGGCCGCCGTCGGGCGACGACAGGACCTGGAACAGCACAAAACTACAGACACATCGACGTCTGAGGGCCGTGCGGACCTCTTGGATCGGCGCTGGACCGAGCGCGCCCGGGGTGTCGCCAGAGGGTCCAGCGCAGATCTAAGAAATCAGCGCGGAGCTCCGAAGGATCATTCGGTGGCAATTCGTGGGAGCCTCCCATGCCATCTTGTCGGCTCTTGCGAATCGACACTGATCGACGCGAGTCGACGCCAGTCGACGCTATATCGACGCTAATCGACGCTAAATCGGAGCCATCTCATCGACTCCCAGACGCTAATCGACGCTAAAGACTGGCTTCGAGAGCAAAGGGTACACCAGGCTCCCATGATTAGCTACCGTCTAGATCGTTTGTTATTTGTGGCGCCTCCGCCTTCGTCCCGTCCTGCCACCCTCGAACGCTCAGTCGCCACAGGTAAAACTCCTTAAAACTCAGACGCCCAGGGCAGGAACTGCAAGGGAACGAGATGCACATGCCCAGACCTCCGACGTCGTGACTGCTCACAGTGTGGACCCCTGGAGGTCGGGACCCCTTCCCCTGAGCCAGCTTTTCATCCCGAGCTGCTTTCGACGGTCCTGGGGGCCCAGTGCGGGCTCCCAGAGGGCGAAGAAGCCAGAACACCTTGCGTCGTGCTGCTTCGTCGCAACCCGACCACTCTTTCAGGCAGCAGTCGTTACCCGTAGGGGCAAACGTGTGCTCGGGGAAGGAAGCGGGGCTGGCCCAGGGAACGACCGCTATACGCCACACCACAACAAACAAATCTCGAGGGGGCCCGGGTCTGGGGTCGCTTGCTCTTCTCCGAGGACCGCCGCGGTCCACAGGGTGCAGTCGCCCAGATTCCGGCTTCACGCAGGGGCGACCCGACGCAGGAGCGGCCTTGGTGCACCTCTCCCGGGGAGACCGCGCGGAGGCCAAACCCGAGCGCGCAAGAGGCCTACGATCGCATCGCGCTCAGTCATCTGGGGGACCCCATCAAATAGAGGCCTCCTAGATGGGGTCCGAATGTCTGGGGTCGGAGGATCGCACCGCATCGCCGATGCATCGCCGATGCTTCGCCGATGCCAAGATCGCAAGGCGCACCGAAGGTCACTCCGGCGAACGTCGGGGGCGTCCAAGAGGGGAGCGTCCAAGAGGGAGAACGCAAATCATGGCCAGGGGCATGTGCGCGGACGAGGGAGTGGCCAGGGGACGTCTTGAAACGAGAAAAGGGGTCATGAACTCCGATGAGATACGATGGCCCCGGCCATGATACCCACCCTAACCCCCTATCGGTGATTCGAAGACGGGGTCCTGAGCTTAGTGGGCCCTGGAAACGACAGGGCCGTTTTTTTACCGGTTCCGTTTTGCCGTTTTTTTGCCCGTTCCGACGCCGTTGTTTTAACGGTTCCGTCGCCGTTTTTTGACCGGTTCCGGCTCCGCTTCCAATCATGGAACCGTTTTTTTGCCGTTTCCATTTTCAAGGGACATTTTTTGGAAATGGTGAAAAAACGGCCCTGTCGTTTCCGGGGCCCACAAAGCCTGAGGAGGCTGCCCCAAACAGTGTAAATGCCCCCGTGGGTCCCCTCCCATTCTTCGGTCCCCAGCCCGCAGGGCCCAATCCTTGAGCCACCGACCCTGGTCATCAGCCCCCCTCTGAACAGCCCCCGAGGAAAAAGGCCACTCTTACGTGCAGCCGAAGATTGGCGCCAACCTCTGAGGGGCAACGACAGGGGGGGCCGGAACTGGGGGGGGTGGCACATCGACCTGGAATCGGCGATACCTCGCCGATAGATCGAGGCGATAGGCTCCCGGTAGCGAAACCGCACTTGGGGGCTATCGGACCCCATCTGGAAGAACAATAAAACGGCGTAACCGTGCGCTTTTGACGGTCCACGCGGATTTCTTGGATCTGCGCTGGCCCCCCGTCCCTGGCGCGCGGAGCGCGCCAGGGGCGGCGCCGGAGGCGCTGCTAGGGCGGCCCAGCGCGGATCCAAGAAATCCTCTCGAAGCGCCAAAAGTTTATCTTCGTGGCGTTGCCTCCTCTTCGACCATCGGCGATCCATGGGCGATTGGGGGTCGATGCCCCCCTCTGCCCATCCCTTGAGCAGGGGAGCAGGGACCGACCGTCCCCGATTCCCTATAGGCCTACCAAGACATGTTCTTAGAATCCCGAAACGTTCGAAGCCCCCCAAAAAACAACGCTCTCAGAACATGAACCCGATGCGTGCTCAAACAGAACAGGCTCAGACATAAATGCTCTAATGTAGCACTTCGTGCAGACCACAGAAGGTTCTTAGAACATGCCTTCGTGGGCCTATATGCGAGCCAATACGTTTCGCCACTGTTTGGTATCCCCGGAGGATGAGGAGGAGGAGGAGGAGGAAGAGAAGGAGGAGGAGGAGCAAAGGAGGAGGAGGAGCAAAGGAGGAGAAGGAGCAAAGGAGGAGGAGGACGAGGAGGGGGAGGTGGTAGAGGAGGAGGAGGAGGACGACGAGGAGGAGGACGAGGAGGAGGGGGAGGAGGACGAGGAGGAGAGGGAGGAGGAGGAGGAGGAGGAGGACGACGAGGAGGAGGAGGACGAGGCGGAGGGGGAGGAGGAGGACGAGGAGGAGAGGGATGAGGGGGAGGAGAGGGAGGAGGAGGAGGATGAGGAGGAGGAGGAGGAGGAGGAGGAGGACGAGAAGGAGGAGGAGGAGGAGAAGGAGGAGGAGGGGGAGGGGAAGATGCAAGACCCCCCCCTGACGTTGCCCCTGCGCCTCCCACAGCCGCAGCGCTGGCGCGCGCCGCCCCCACGGGCCGCAGCCCGAGGAGGCGGCGACCCCCGCGCGAGGCCCCTCGCCGCGCGCGCACGCCGCGCCCAGGCGCGCGATCATGGACACCCGGGCGATGCCAAAGCGCGGTTGCCGAGGGCTTCACAGATGACAAGGAGAACAAACCACAAAACAAAAAACGGCATGAACATGCCAACTTTTGGCGCTCCGCGCGGGGCTCTTGGATCCGCGCCGGGCCCCCCTCGCCAGAGCCGATGGGGGCCCCGCTTCCACCACCACGGCCACATGCAGGAGAGCGAGGAGGAGGAGGAGGAGGAGGAGGAGAAGGAGGAGGAGGAGAAGGACGAGGAGGAGGACCTCCTCATCCTCCCTTCTCCCCCGTCCTGCACATGGTAGCGGTGGTGGACAACTCGCCCATCAAGAGCGACCCAAAAGAATCATCCAACCGCTTCTTCGGGCTTCCCTCCTGGAGCCTCGGTCCTCTGGAATGAGCTGGTGGCCCCCTCTCCTACTCCTCCTCCTCCTCCTCCTCCTCCTCCTCCTCCTCCTCCTCCTCATCATCATCATCATCATCCGCCTCCTCCTCCTCATCCGCCTCCGCCTCCGCCTCCGTCTCCTCCTTCACCCTTTTCGACTTCATCCTCCTACTCCCCTCCTCCTTCCTCCTCCTCCTCTTCCCTGTACTTCCTTCTCTCCTCTCTCCTCTCTCTACCTCTCTCCTCTCTCCTCTCTCCTCTCGTCCTCTCATCCTCCTCTCCCTCTATCCCTCTCTCCTCCTCCTCCTCTCCTCTCCTTCCTCCTCCTCCTCCTCCTTCCTCCCCTCATCCCTCCTCCTCTCCTCCTCCTCCCTCTCCTCCTCCTCCTCCTCCTCCTCCCCTCCCGCTCCCCCCTATCCTTCCTCCTCCCCTCTTGCTAGCTCCTCCTCCTCCTCCCTCTCTCTCCACTCCTTGCTCCTCTCCTCCTGCTCCTCCTCCTCCTCATCCTCCTCCTCCTCCTTCCCGCCCCGCCGTGGCCCTCCCTCTCGGCACCGCCCGAGGATACGAGGCGCAGGTACGCCCCGCGGTTGTGGCAGAAGGGCAGCCGGGTGACGCGCACCTCGGAAGGCACAACTCGTCGGGGCGCAAAGGGACGTACTACAGGGCAGTTTTAATACATGTTTTTTTTGACATATAGGATGTTTAATACATGATTAACTTCTGAATTAATTTATGCATGAACTCATCGTTGTGTTTAGTACTAATTCCCCATCTCCTAAGATGGGGCTCTGGTTATTACTTGGACGCCTCCTACTTCCTCTCCTCCTCCTCCTCCTCCTCCTCTCCTCCTCTCCTCCTCCTCCTTCGTCCTCCCCTCCTGTCGGACTTACTCATACTCAGACTTGCTCATACCCAGACTTGCTCATACTCGGGGCGCTGGTTTCAGCACCCCAGGGGGTGTATCACGGGCCCGTTCGCGGCCAGTTTGTGGGGATGTCTCAGGCGGTTTGCTCGTTTTCGTGCTCAACATCCTTGGCTTTCATAGCAGATTGTGAGGATGTCTCAGGCGGGGCGCTGGCTTCAGCACCCCTAAGGGGAGCCGCAAGGGGGTATATCACGAGCCCGTTCGCGGCCAGTTTATGGGGATGTCTCAGGCGGTTTGCTCGTTGTCGTGCTCAACATCCTTGGCCTTCATAGCAGATTGTGAGGACGTCTCAGGCGGGGCGCTGGCGTCAGCACCCCTAAGGGGAGCCGCCAGGGGGTATATCACGGGCCCGTTCGCGGCCAGTTTGTGGGGATGTCTCAGGCGGTTTGCTCGTTTTCGTGCTCAACATCCTTGGTTGTCATAGCAGATTGTGAGGATGTCTCAGGCGGGGCGCTGGCTTCAGCACCCCTAGGGGGAGCCGCC